AATATCTCTTCAAATGAGATATTCTTTTGTTTATCTCTTTAATGAGATGAAACTTTTGTCAAAGATTTTGGACCGACGCGTTCTGAATCGAATCGAACTCTCGCCTTCTGAACAGATCGGATCCTCAAAGCCCAGCATCGTTACACCAGTATACTATCGGCCCATTGCTCAATCATTTCTATTTGACTTAAGTACTATCTTTTAGTACTATCATCATTTTATGCTATCTTTTCGCGCACGCTAGTCGCGACAGATGTGGAGTAATACATTGAGATATTTTGGCATATAGGAGGATATCTTGGGATATATAGGCATATGCTGGGATATAGGAGGATATCTTGAGATATGTAGGGAATATCTTGTGATAAGGAGGAGATTCCCAGAACTATCAGGGATATGTTGAGAAACTTGCACGGATATCCGGAGATCTACGGGAATATATCCGGATATGCGAGGATATCTTAAGATATATATATATGTGGGTTTATGAAGGTTTTATTTAAAGCACGTGCGAAGTTTTGTCGTCGTTTCGTTGAGGACACTTACGAGTGTAAAGAGCGTGGTGTTGGTGATATTATAAGATACTGTTCAAACGAAAGGACAAGGAAATGCCGTGTTGTGATGAGACAAAGTGAACAGCTACTGAAAGTGTGTGCGAACAGGCCTCTTGTGGACGGGATAACTATCGAAATGAAACCGGGCACTGACAGTGTTTGCATGTGGATGTGTGAGGATTATTCCGGGGACATGCACGGCACGAGAGAATGCTTCGAAGCAAAATTCAAGGCTGAGAGCGACTATGCCAGATCACTTCATGTCGGTATTCCGTGCTGGTTGTCTTGCGAAGCAAACAACAACTGACGTCAACAATAAACATCTTGCAACTGCTGATTCATCATCAACTAAACAGTCGGATCAAAGTGGATCGAAGGAAGGTGGATTCGGCGCTTTGAGTGTGTGCTGTCAAGAATGAGGACGAGACAGGTGGTGAAGATGCATGCTGACAATGAAAAAAAATTTGACGATAACGACCCTTATGAGGAGCT